TGACTAGAAAAAAAACAAAAAAAAAAACAAAAATTACAAAGAAGCATGTACTTCAATGCATGCCTGTTGCCAGTAGGAACTGGAACCTGCCCTCTTGAAAACCATCTACTAAATGATGTGAACTAATTTTAGTGTGTAAATTCTTAATAACTGATTCTTTTTTTATTTTTAAATGAGACAGAGTAGTTATGTTGAATTTACAAGTTGACCAGCATCAATCTGGTTCAATCAGTAATTCCATACTAATTTCATGAGAGCAAATTCAGATTTTCTATGTCAGAACATTGACCTACCCCTACCGTTTGGCGCCACTAGTTGCAACATCAGCAGTTTCTAAGCAGTTTCAGTGTTAAGGCATTTCTACCTTGTTGCATTTTTATTATAACCTGCTGACGTTTAGCTGCAATCGTTGCTCCAAAAATTCAGGAAGTGGTTCTTATAGCATGAAGTGCAGACACTATACATTGAGCATTTGATTTATATTATATTTTTTTCCTATATGCCTTCCAAAAGCTAAGCAAAGTATTAAGAAACAAGAAAATTTTATTAGAAACTGATACATCCTGGAAAGGGATATATTTGTTCGAGGTAGCAAAGTGGTTGTTGACTACTGTAACCGGTTAGGACAATCTAGCAGGTAACTGTAATGACTGGTCCTCATCGTGGTGGTAGACAATAGGCATAGGCAATATGCGTAGCCTATAGGCAAAGTCAATAGGCATGCTCATGTACCTCCACACCAGTCTGTATTTATGGCTGACACCAGCCAATCATATTACTGTGAGGGGGAACCCAGGTGTATGCATATTCATTACATCAGAAACAAAGAAAATAATATTGAACTGTTATGTAATATTGTTATTCCTATATGGCAGTGAATGCAGGACAATCTCATCACAGATGAAGAAGAGATTTCTGGTAACAAAAATGTGGTTCTACAGAAAGATGCTGAGAATACCATTGAGTGAACATGTGAATACTGATAAAGTTTTAATTGGAATTTGAAACAAAAATGGCACATATAGTTTGAATCAGAAAGTTAAAATTTCTTGAGCACATAATGGGGAAAAAGAGCTTGAAGAATTTGACACTCACAGGACATACTGAAGGCAAGGCACTCTCCTTCCAGATAATTTTGAAGGGACTGGCAGAGGGGGAAAATGGGGTTTTTCCCATCAGATTAGATGTTACAGTTGTAGTATCTTTTCTGTGCCAGAGGCTTTCTCTCCTCCCTTGTGTTCCCCCCACCATTGCATGACATCTGTTAAGTAGCGGTGATGTGACCAGCTATGACTAGCTTGAATAAGCTATGACAAGCTAAGACCAGTTTAGACTAGCGGCCTGAGTAGAAACACTCGGGTCCCCAAATTAAAAACTGACATTGTGTCACAACCTGACTCAGTGTTGTGTTAAGGTAAATTTCAGACATACTGAAGGCAAGAAACACAGAGGTAGCAAGTAACTTAACGAGCTTGTGTTAATGTTTGGCAGAACAGGGACTGGGGGGGTATAGCAAAAAGACAAAAGGTAAATAAGAATTACAAAGGAAGTTGTGAAGAGCCATGCTCGCCCAAATCCTGAAGGAACATGGCACATAGAAGAAAAGCAGCACCAACATGCACTGATTTGCATGGTTTTTTAAACATAGGATGAAGTGGTTAGCTGTTAAATATAACCATAATCTGGCAAAATCACTTCTCAAGTACCTTCTAGCTCACAAATGATACTGGATTAGTAATGGACAACATGTACAGGCTCTTATCTGGCATTAAGCAGTGTAAAAACCTTACTGGAATTTAGCTTAACATACACTGTCTTACTCAAACTAGCAATCTCACTTTGATTGCTTTAGCTTTTAGCTGGTTTGCAATCACAAGGGTCATAGGGGCACTATATGTACTGCAGCTGTAGCAGCATTGGTGTGTCTTGGGAAAGATATCTAGACAGAGCTCAACCCTCAACAGGTTTTCTTTCTTTCTTGTATACTGGTTGCCAACTAAGGCTATAGGACCAAATCTGTCCTGCTATTTAACCATAGTTAGGGTAAGGAAAGATGGATTCATACCTTTCCTAAGGTTATTTGCACATAAATGAATGTAACAAACCTGACTGGAATTGAACTTATCTCTCCAATTTCTCATTCCAAGCTGCTATCCATTATACCAGCAGCACATCTTCATTCCTAGCTGGTTAAAAATATCAATTACTGTAAGCAACAAATGGCCTTAAGCTTGTCTACAAGGCAGAATCTAAAGGCAAGTTTCTATATTGTTTCTGATTTACTTCTTAATATTTCTGATAATGATTCAAGATAAAACAGAATTTGAATTTTTATAACAAATGTGAATGAAATTAAATATAATCTTATTAAAAAAGTAAAACTTATTTTAATAATTTTATTTAGCAACAACACAATTATTAATAATAATATTCATTTAAATATTATCAATCATAAATTTTTGAGTAAAAAATTTAAATTCAAAAAGGAATAATTTAAAAACAACTATTATTATTAATTTATTCCATGAACAAATGTTAAAAGAGACCAACTTAAAGGCTTATCTTTTTATCTATTGTTATTATTTATTAACCACAACATGGTGGTAGGGTGTGACACAAGGTTAGTTTAATGCAGGTGCTGTACATACAGGCCAAAGAGAAAAATGTGCCTACTATCATATTAGTATCAGTATCAACTAATTCTCCCTCTTTAGTGCAATGAGGAAGACTAGGCTTCACCATACATTAGTGCAGTGTACCTTATTAAGCAACAGCACACCTAGGAGCAAATGCATCACATTACACTTAGCAAAATTTTTAAAGGGTATATATTTAAATGTTATGTAATAAAATCATAGAATTAAAAAAAAATGCACACACAAATATGAACTCACTTTATTTCAATGTTTCTATTCAATCATTTGTTCAGCTTATTTAGTTTGAAACCTGTGCCTGGTGTTTTTTTCATGATTTCTTCAATGTTTTGTCAACTGTGATAAGTTTAATACTTATTCATTTATTCAAATACTAATGCTGTATCATTACAACTTACACACACACGCACACACATATATATATATATATAACTGAATACAGGGTTAGTATAGATAGAATAAAATTCTGATAACCAAAACCACTATTTTAAAAAAGTGCTCAATACAAAGTAGAGCAAATAATATTTATTCAAAAATTATAACATAAGCATATTATAACATCACTACAAAAATAGCCATTTTGTTTCAACATTTCTGGTGTCTTGTCAAGTGATGGGCAATCAATTCCATCACTTGATAAGACACCAGAAGTATTGAAACAAAATGGCTATTTTTGTAGTGATGTTATAACATGGTTATGTTATAATTTTTTAATATATATATATTTATGAATAAAAATGACAATAGGAAAACTGGTAATTGCTGACGCGTTTTGTCCAATGTGGACTTTATCAAAGCAAAATACGAAAATGAAATTAAATGAACGAAGTAACTAATAAAAACAAAAACATTTAATTTCATTTTCGTATTTTGCTTTGATAAAGTCCACATTGGACGAAACGCATCAGCAATTACCAGTTTTCCTATTGTCATTTTTATTCTCTACTGGTTAAATCGGAGAAATTTTCATATATATATATATATGCAAGCCATGACAATATTTTGTGGCACATGGCAGTTGAGAATCGCTGCTTTAGAGAGAACAAATACTACATTTTGATCCCAGCTTGAAGGCTAGTAAATGAGAAATTTACCCACCTCTCTATGCTTCCAGTATATGAAACAAGGTTTGTTTAACATGAAGTGACTTATATACTGGCCAAGGGCCAAAACTGCCCAATCCTCATGACCATTGCCATGCTTGTATTATATGCACCAAATCCTATTTCAAAGCAAGGCCTCACCACAGGATTAGAATACATAGGACCAGGAATCACTCAAAGCTTTCCTATTAGCTGCCTGAAGGTAGAAATACAACAGAGAGAACAGATACCACACCTTGTTCCCAGCCTGAAGGCTGAGTAAAAGAGCAGTATTTGCAATCCATCCTACAGTGACAGAATGTGGTACAAGGTCAGTTTAATGTGGGGTGCTATACACACAGGACAAGGACAAAAATTTCTCAGTCTTCTCGACCACTGTCATGCTTACATCAGTATCCATCAGTCTATCCCTCTTTAGTACAATGAGGAAAATGCTACTGCAGAAATTAAATCTTCAGGATTAGGCTTGCCTAATCAAAGAGGAACAGATACAACATTTTGATCCCAGCACAAAGGCTGAGAAAATTGTCCCATTTCAACTCTCCAGTCATTGTTAGGTGACAGAGGTTAGATATTTACAACATAAAATACAATGTATGATGATTTTAGAATGATATTAATTTCTTTCTCATGTACAGAAATTTTTTTATAACAATTCCCAGCTGAAGAAAGAAAAGAAATATCAAAGCTCTCAGTTTTCAGATAAAACTTCAACCACTATGCTATACAAAAGTTTCATCAATTTCCACCCCACCCAAAAAGGTTCCCTATGGTAATTAAAAGATAACAGTTTCATTTTGTGGGTGTTAAAATGTAAGTTCAAGGATAGAACCCCGAGGATTAATTAATATGAAATAATCTAAAAGCATGGCTGTTCAACACAACCTTCATTCCATGAGTTGCTATGAAGGAGGAGAAGTTGTGGAAAGCCATGATTTCCCATATTCTAAGAGAATATAGAATATTTGATTGAAATGATTTGTTTTCTATGGCTTATCAACCCTTTTGCAGATTATTTAAAGTCAGAAAATATTTTTAGATTGTAAGAATATATTATTGTTGTTGATAATAATGATTTAGTGATTACTAATTAATCCATAGCTGGAGAGAGAAGAGGTGGCTTCATGCTTTTCCCAAGTGTATTTGCACATAAATGAATATAATGAACCCAACTAAAATTGACACTCAGACTCTTTGATTAACAATTCCAAGCCACTATCAAACATCAAACATCCAAGCTTAGAGCACCTGGTATTCCCAAGTGGTCACCTATCTAGGTATTGAGCAAGTACAATGTTGCTTAACTTCAGTGATCATACTGGAGCTGGTGTTTTAACATGTTGTGACTGTAAGCCTAGCATATAAAAGAAGAATTTGGGGAATTTTTTCTTTCTTATTTTCTGACACCAGTGATTGAACTTTAAAATTAATAGCTTAAGTCATATGCTCTAATCACTTAACTATAATACCATCACACTTAGAATAAAGCTTTGCGAAAAAGCAAAGAATGTTTTCCTTGTTAATTTCTCCTTAAGCACTGGATTTTAAGAGCAGAAACAAGACTTTTGTTAATTATTTTGTGCTTTTATGCAACAAATATTGATTATGTCAAATTCCTGAAATTCTAAAATGATTGTATGCAGAAAAAAATTAAATAAAGGCAAAAGGAAAAAAAAAAGAAAAATGAATAAAGATTGTTGAGTTTTAGGATGTGAAAGCATTTCATCTGGATTTTCTTTTTTCTTGTTCTTTTTTCATTTTTTTTAATAGATAGTAGGAAAAACGAAACGATCATCTTTTAAAAGTCACAATCAATAGTTTTGTAATAATTTGCTTCTTCAAATTCCAAAGATAAATAGGATAAAAAAAAAAGAAATTTACTAAATGAAATTAGATTGAAATATTAGCAATAAAAATGTCTTTAAATGGTGCAAGATAATATGACAGGTACAAAAGATATAAAGTGAAAAATGCTTTGTTAAAAGTGAAGAAAAATACAATCCATCTGAAGTTATTATGCAAGTCGCATAAACCTCAATAATTCAAATTTGCTTTGGAAAATCTTTATCAAATTTTAAAAGATTAATTTAGATGTGAAAACAAAGCTTGACTTAAATTTTTAGTTACTTTCAACATGTTTATTAACCTTATTGGATTTATTAAAAAAAAACGTCAGTCTGAAGTTATCATGCAGATTAAACTAATATTAGTTTAAGGCCTCTGAAATCTAATAAAAACTATTTTTTCTTTTGTTTCCATAATATATATTGAAATATGGGTAATGGAAAGTATCTAATAATAAATGCTGAAAAACAGAAAATAACAAAGATATTTCAGTGCAGGAATGTCCACATTGGAAATATCAAAAGAACTTTGCATAGATCATTGAATGATAAAGAGAGCTGTTGCAAATATAATTAAGTTGAAAACTAGAAACAAAGAAAAAGGCTTTAAGAACTTGTTTCCTCAAGCGGGGAACATAAACTAAAGCAAGTTAATGCAAAACAAACACTTTTAGCCAGTGCCCAGATCTTTGAACAGGCTGGAATTGAGGAAGTCAAAAAGGACAAAAGATGTAAAATACTTTGTCCAATGGGATCTGTCAAAAAAATCTCTTAGGCAAACTCCTCTCAGTAAAGCAAATATTTTAAAGTATCAAAATTGGGCCAAGAAATACAGGAAAATTGACTTTTCTAAAGTAATTTTCATGGATGAATCTTGATGAACCTGATGGATGGACCAAAACATGGATTTTAATCAATGCAGGCGTGCCTATGGCTAAAAGAAGGCAGAAAAGAGGTGGCAGTGTGATTACGTGGGCTGGAATTGTCAACCAAAGCATTATTTGACCATTCAAAGTCGATGAAGGAATTAAACTGAATAGTGCTAACTATTGCAATTTCATGGATAAGATTTTCTTTGAATGATACAAGTCCTAATCTCACAGTTTCAAAATGAAGTGTGTATTTATGCATGACAATGCTTCTTCTTAAATATCTAAGGATACCAGTGAAGTTTTTGAGGGTAAAAGGTTTACAGGAGAGAAGATAATGGAATGGCTATCATCAAATCCCAAACTGAATCTGAATCTGATCTAAAATCTATGGTTAGTGAAAATGAAATTATATGAATGTGGCAAACAATATGACAGCAAAGCCGACTTATGGGAAGTGATTAAAACCACCATGTTGGGAATTTAACCCACTGATACAAATAATCAATGAATAGTAGATTACTGGATGTTAAAGAGAAGGGTTACTATATTAAGATGTAAATGCTTCTAAGACTTAACATATATGTTTGTTATTTGTTCTATTATAGGTGTTGATTAACAGTTGATGGTTTTATTGCATTGTTATTGAAGTAAAAATTAACTTTTTTGCATAATAACTTCAGACTGCAGTTTTTTTTTTATAATAAATTCAATCAGCTTAATAAAACATGTTAAAACTACTTAAAAATTTAACACAAACTTTGTTTTGATGTCTAAATTAATCATTTAAAATTCACCAGAATTTTTTTCAAGGCAACCTCAAGTAATTGGAGTTTATATTGATTTGCATGGATAATTTGGACAGACCTTAGATTAAGCCTCTGAGAAGAATAATTACTATAGTCTTTATTTCCATCTAGAAATACAGAGTTAACCTGAATATGAAGATCATCAGGATATTTGTGATCATGGCTCTCCACAATTTCATGTCCTTTGTAGCTCTTAATAAATTTTGCTTTATCTCTCCTAAACCTTCCTCTAGCATACATTCACTCAAGCCTGCTAGATAGGTTATGCTTTGTTTTCTTCTGTCTCTCTTGCTTTCAATCTGCCCTGTAAATATTACAATATCCAAGCCCTCTTTCTTCATTATGAGCCCTAGGAATTTCAACTATCTCTTCCTGATCTTAATAAGTGTCTGTTTTTGTTTCCATTTTCTCTAAAACTTCATTGTGTCGGTCCATGGTAATCTCAGAATCCTTCTGTAGAATGACATTTCTGCTGCTTCAAGCCTCTTTATCATCTGTGAGGAGATTGTCCAGCATTCACAGCCATATAGGAGGAGTGATATTTATTTTAATCTAATGGATTAACTTTGACATGTAATTTTTATTGGAAGAATGCCTGAAATTCTGAAACATTAACATGAGATGATTTTAGAAATAACAAGAGTAGTTTATTCCAATTCCATGTTTCGTTATGTCCATTGCACTCTCTAAAATTTGTATAAACATACACCAGAGGCGACACTGCTCTCAGTCGTTCATTGACTGGACATATCACCCAACTTTAGGTCTCATTTCTTGTTCACTTTAGTATGCACAACAACTGGGAAAATCCTGTTAAATGTTCACAAGCAAAGGAATGGCAAAACAACACTATGGCAAGAAATAAAAAATACAAACTTATTTCTTATATATTTGTTTGGATTCACTTACTCAGTCAATGGGTTAAATAGCTAACACTTAAGAAAACTTTTGCTATTTCTGCCATGACAGACTAAAAGATTGGCCAGCAAGAACGAGCTTACGAAAGTGACAACAAGTATTTGTTGACATCACAAAAGTGGTAACAAGTGTTTGTTGACATCACAAAATAAATAAATAAAAAAAATGGGTATATATCTCAGCTTCAGTCCACTTCCCACCACCATAATGTAGATTCTTTGTACCTTTTCTATATATATTTTTCATAGTAATTGTTCTGTTGAACTTTCCTCTATGGTAGCTAGACTTTATGAATTTAAGTGCAGTATTAGATTGGCAGCAAGGTCTCAGCATTTTGCAGTTGAAATGGCTGCTAGATGTAACCATAAGTTCTATGCTAACAGTTTCTTCTATTTACTTTTGGAATTTTCTTCTAGTTTCTTGCTTTCCATTCAAATTGATCTTCAAAAATTTAAATGCAATGTCAATTGTTATCTTTTCTCTTCTTAATTCATGTTCTTTTATTGTTCTCTCTCCTTAATAATATTTTCTTTTTCTCATATTCTTTCACACACAGTAACCCCTTGCATCTTAGTGACCTTATTGCTTTGCTTGGGGTGAAATGATTAAAAAAAAATAATTGAGAGTCTATTGACTGAGTTGTGATAAAAAGCAACACTAATGAAACTGATTAAAACTAGTAATAAAATACCAATAATAAAATATGCTATTTTTTTAGTAGCCAAAAGTGTTTGAGATGACATCCCTGTTTTTTTTTTATTTTCTTAAACAGTGAAATTAATATCAACTGACCTAGATTGAGAATTCCTACTAAAGACAATATGCCTCCCAATAGGAATTGAACCAGTACTTTTTTTCCCATCAGGGAAACCACTAGATAGCTGAAATGTGCCATATCTAGTTAGGCCACAGGAGATCATTATCATAAATTTCAAACCAATAAAATATTAATCTCATTTTTTAAAGGTTTATTACCTTTTTGAATGTTTTAAAGCAGTGGATGTGTCTACAGCAAAATAGCCTGACAAAGTTCAGCCCCCTTTCAGGATGGATTTTCCCACATAGTTGTCTTTCTCTTAGACTGATTGTTTTACCAAGTTTAAAGAGACAAGTCTGCAATATTATTGATGGGGTTTGATTTCAGTATTGTTGTTCTCCAAGACTGGCAACCCTACCAAAGTTAAAGAGCCCAATCTGCATTATTATTATTCTGGTGTTTTAAGTAAAAGTTTTCCTTCTCCTATACTGGCTGCCACTCAAGGCAAGAGAGCTCAGTCTATCCTGCTATTTAACTTATAACTCATGGCAGAAGAGATGGACGTCTTTCCTAAAAGCTTGATATGACATCCCTGTTTATTTTTATAAACAGTGAAATTAATAATAACTGGCCTAAAGTGAGAAATTCTAGTAAAAAGAAATAAGAAAAATAATTATAAGAGTGTACAATATGAGATTCTTTAATGAACACAAGCATGATCTGCACCAAATTAGATTTTATATTAGCAGACTTAAACATCGAGTTCAAATATTTTAAACCTAATGTCAAAGTAGAGAGTGTATAATAATTTTGAAACAAGATATAATAAAGATAAATTAAACAAAATTCAATTTAGATTTCTCTAATCTAAATCCATGTATAAGAATATTTTTAGATGTCTTGTGGATTAAGATGCTTCCTTGATCTAACAGAGGAATTAAACCATTAATGTTGCAAACAGATTGAGATTATATGACCTAATTAATTTTTATTGTAAACAGAGCATATTTAAACAATTCATGAGAAAATTATTGTGAAATTATATTTCTACATATTGTTTCAATCTTTAATACTTTGTGAAGCTTTAGAAAGGAAACATGTAAAGGATTTGCCTGATTTCCAACACATAAGAGTACGTCATTTTCAAATTATCAATTTGACAATTAACCAATTTTTTGTCAAAGTTCATAGGTTAATACAACTTATAATTTTGAAATATCTATTAATATTATTATTTTTATATATAGTAAATTTTACCCAGTACAAGGCTCAAAAGCCACTCAATGTAAGGGCTACAGTCAAAATAGTAAGGCTGAATGTAGTTTGTGATATGAATGGAAGAGAAGGTGATAGGAAATGAAGATAATGAGGAAAGATAATTACTGACCCTTGACTTAAAGCGAACAAGTGTTCAAGGAAGCAACAATATGGGAGTTGTTCCACAATGGTAGTTCTTAAGAAAATGTGTTCAGAGTGGAATTTTCATCTTTCATTTAGAAAATGAAGGAAATGAGAAATGAGGATGATTTGACTCCATGGAAGTGTCATTTTGTTTCCCAGCTCTAAAGCTCTGAAATGGTACCCATAAAAAATGATGGACATATAGAACAGCACTTCTGCAGAGGAACAAAGTGCCATTCCCTGACTCTTTGCCTAGAATCAAAGTGTCATTCCCTGACCCTCTGTCTAGGATCAAAGGGTCATTACCTGACCCTCTGCCTAAGATCAAAGGGTCATTCCCTGACCCTATGCTTAAGTTCAAAGGGTCATTCCCTGACCCTCTGCCTAGGATCAAAGTGTCATTCCTTGACCCTCTGCCTAGGATCAAAGTGTCATTCCCTGACCCTCTGCATAGGATCAAAGTGTCATTCCTTGACCCTCTGCCCAAGATCAAAGTGTCATTCCCTAACCCTCTGCCTAGGATCAAAGGGTCATTCCTTGACCCTCTGCCTAGGATCAAAGTATCATTCTCTGACCGGCTGTCTAGGATCAGTTTAGTATCTCTACAATCAGTAAAATTTAGTATTTGTAAGTTAATTTTACAGTGTTTCTCAAACAGCAGAACATTGATGTAATGGGCTTGTCACTTGTTCCCTTACCTGCAGGTCAAACAGTCAAATCAGGGAAGGTTTCAATTGTTCATTTTATATATCTGATTGCTTTTAATGTGAAAAAAATGAAAGAAAGAAAGAAGAGAAGAACAAACAAACAAAAAACAAAGGAAGGGAAAAAGAAAAAGAAATAAGAAAAAAGAAAGCGACAAAGAAAGAAAAATAGGAAAAAAGAAAAGACAAAAAAAGAAAAATTTAGAAAGAAAGAAGAATGAAAAATGCAAAGTGAAAAAATCAAAAATATCATACTATTCATTATTATACTATGTCACAGTTTATTAAGAATGTGAATATTTTCACAATAAAGTTAGTATAAACCAACTGATACTGAAAATGTTCAAGATATACTCACATTTATATGACAAATATGCCATAGGAATTCCAGTTTACAATTTACAGTTTATTTGTTTTTGATAGAAATTATTTGGTGATGTGAGATAATGCAACTCAAAGGTCGTTCATCATAAAAAATAAATATATAAAATGGCAGAATTATTATTCCTATTTTTATTTCAGATATATAAAGACTGCCCTGGGTCATAAAAAAAGATATAACCTTAATAGAGAAAGAAGATATTGTAAAATTATTGAGTAAGAGGAACAAAATGTAGGAAATCACAAAAAAAACTTGGATAAAGATAAAAAAAAATCCAAAGTTAAATCGAAAACATTGCCAAGAACAAAGCAAACTGTGTTTGATAATGTCACATCAAGGAATTTACGAAAAACTAAAAATGGAAATAAACAAGGAAAGTGGATTGATCAGCAAGAAAATATTTAAAGAAGCTGGTGTGGTCAATGTAAAAAGAGAGAAAAATGACAGAATATCAAGAGAGAAGATATGAAATCAACCAAACTAGCAAATAAACATTACAAAGAGTAACACATAAAAATATCTGATAAATTTTAGAAACAGTAGTTGATTAATAATTGTTTTATGATCAAAAAATTGACTTGCTTAATAAAATCTGACATAGATATTTTTAAATGGATTTTTTTAATTCAACATTATTTCATATTTAAAAAACACTGTTTTTAATGAGTACAAATGTTTCTTTCACTGTTTTTTTTTATTTTCTTAAACAGTGAAATTAATAACAATCAGATGAGTTTGAGAAGTTTTTTAAAGAAAAAACGGTATGTCCTGACAAGAATCAAACCTTTATACCCTCTTTCCCTCAGGAGCAGTTTCACTGATGGAAAAAGGGATTCAAATTTTATTCTTGTCAAGAGGCACAATATTTCTTTAGTAGTACTTCTCAATCTAGGCCAGTTATTATTATTCATTGTTTAGGAAAATAATTTTGAAACAATAGACATGTGGTTCTAAAGAAGGATGCTGAGAATACCATAGACTGAACATGTGAGCAATGACAAAATTTTAGGGAAAATAAGAAAAAAAATAACACTTATATTTAGAATCAGAGAAAGACTTTTCTAGGGTACATAACAAAGAAAGAGGACTTGGAGAATTTGACACTGGCAGGACATATTTAAGGCCAGGACAAGAAAAACAGCAGATAATCTAATGAGATTGTGTAAATAATTGGCAGAATGGGGATTGGGAGAGGTAGCAAAAAGATAAACCTTACTAAGAGATACAAAGGACAGGAAATTTTGGAGAGCCATGATCGTCCTCATCCTGAAGAGTTATGGTACAGAGAAGAAAATAAAAAATATGGATAACAGTTCAAATATGTGTGACTACTTAAGATAATGTTTGCATTAATGACAGGTATATATGATTTTCAAAGTAATGTCAAAATATCTATAAATAAAATATAAAATACAATAAAGAAAGATCTGTTTGAGAATAAAAAAAAAAAAAAATAAGGTAAAAAAATAAAGTACTCACACTATGTTGGTCAAATCAATTTTCTTCTCGGGAACATCAGAAAATGTGGGAATTTTATGATTGGTTTTGCTTGGCACACACCGGAATGATTTCTTCAATGAATGACCAATTTGTTTTGCAGGAGATTTCTGAATATAGAAAAAAAGAGAGAGAAAAAATAAAAGATAATTCACAACTGAAATAATAAAGAAACTTCCACTGACACAGGGGCTGATCAATAAGTCCATCTCCTGATATTTTTAGATTTTGATCTAAAATCTTCACTGTATAAAGTTCAGTCTTGATTAACATCCACCACTGAATTTAATACATTCATAAGGAAGGATGATATCATGTTGAAAAACATATTTGTTATACAGAATACATGCATTTTTTATCATTAGACTACTAATTCCACTTTTCAAATTTTTATGATGGATTCAGCACATGTAACATCACAGCTCTCATTCCAATTCCAGATCATACTCAATCTATATTATTTATGCTTACTAAATTAAATGCAATCACTAAAAAACTTTATTACTTGCAGATGGCATCAAAAGACTGAAAAACAGACAAGGCCAATTATTAAATAGTTCTCAATATGTCTTTGAAGAAGTTGAAAACTCACCAACCAGTAATATAAAATATTTTTTTAAAAAAAGACTCAACCATTCTGTTTTCATTTGCATGTAAGCCTTCAAAACACTTCTCAAAATTAAAGAAAAAAATATTTGGAGATAAGCAATTTTATGTTAAGAAAATAAGTAGCAATAATAAAAGCATTCATTCAGAAATATTCATAGACATTTCCCATGAGCCTTTAGATTACTCAGGGTGCCATGCCATCTCTCAGGGAAATTAGGGTTATTTGGCAGTATACAAGCATTTTTTATATTTCCAAAACTTCACCAGACATTTTCATTAATGCTAAAAATAGATCAACACAACCCCAAAAGGGAATCAACACACACACACACACCAGGGACCTTTAAAAGAATGAATAATAGGACAATCAAGATTTATTTTTCCAGACCCCTAATCTTGAGCATTAATTGCTTATATCAAGGAAACATGGCACAGTGGATAAAGGCGTTAGTTAGATCCAGTGACAAGACCCAAAGAGTGTGAGTTCAATACCTGTTTAAGGCAGTGAAGAACTTTCAGAGGGGAATTAACAAGAGATAACTGACATCCATTAGACATGGTACGTGGAACTAGAACAGTCTACCCCAGTGAGTGAAATAAAGGGTTCAGTTTGACATTCCAACCACCTGAAGAAGACCGGAGTGTACAACGGCCAAAACATTATGATAAACATGGTGACAAAGATGAGGACAAAAGTCCGAATAATGTAAATAGTGTACATAATACCTCATCTCAGAAATATAGACAGATACTGAAGAGCTGAAACGTTGTAATAAATATGGCGAAAAAGATGAGCACAATAGTCTGAATAATGTAAATAGTATACATAATACCTCATCTCAGAAATATTGACAGATTCTTATATCCAATAGGAATAATCAAACCAAGTGGTATCATTTTGGAGCCTTAAACCTAATGTCTGTTCTTTAAATCAAAAACCTAATGTCTGTTCTTTAAATCAAAAACCGAATGTCTGTTCTTTAAATCAAAAACCTAATGTCTGTTCTTTAAATCAAAAACCTAATGTCTGTTCTTTAAATCAAAAACCTAATGTCTGTTCTTTCCTGATCAAAGACTTCTATATGATGTTCAATATGTTCTCTGGCATTGCTATTATTCCTACTTGATTTCACAGGGGATAGTATCCCCACTTTTCACTACACATGATCAGCCATACTCAACTTTGCCTCTCAATGGACTATAGCTTTTTGGTACTTAAAGAAGGCTGGGGTACAGTAGCCAAAATGTAACTCTAGCATCCAAAATGAAGGCACCAGATTGAATAAATTATTGTATAAGGAAATTAATAGTCATTATTCTTATATAAATTTTTAATATTTTTGATGTCAATCCTCTTTGGAAACTGAAGTTTGTGCATGAATTTATATTGTGAAGTTAATTTGAGCATTTCAAGAATTATTCTTTAAAAATAAATAGTCCGTATTCAAAAATTATTTTAATTATTGATTGATTGATTATTTATTTTTAGTGGCTTATTAACACTTTACAGGTTATTTAAAGCCAGACAATATTCTTAGATTGTAAGAATTCTTTTTTGTTGGGGAGATAATAATGGTTTAGTGATACAAGGGTAGTTGCAATAAGTGAATATAACAAACCCAACTGGAATTGGAACTCAGTTCTCTAATAAACAATTTTGAGCCATTATCCATTACACTAACTGCACATCCAAACTTACAGTACTTGGTATTCTTAAGCAGTCACCCATCATTGTACTGACCAGGCTCGATGTTGCTTAACTTCAGTGATTGTACAGGAACAGTTGTTTCAATGTGATGGTGTCATAATCCCTATTTTCATTAGCTTTGTAGAACGTTTTTGCCTGATAAACTATCTGATATAGCAAACAATAATGATAATTTTTAAAAAAAAAAGTTAACCGTTTTCAGATGGCAAACATTTTTTTAAATTCTGAAAATATATTATATATTTTACCATTTTTTAACCATTCAACCAATCAGGGAATAAGAAAATAAATCAATAAGTCTGTAATCAGACACAGTAATTAGCTGAAATCTGATCTGTAATTTTTATTGAATAAGATTCAATCTATGTAATTAATATAGAAGTATCAAGTGCATTGACAAGGAAGGAGATTTTGTTTCTTTTTAATCTCTTCATGATTACACTTGGAGATCAGTATCATAAGACAGCAATTATCTAAAAAGTAATCTAAATTTAATAAATTTCAGATGATATAGGTCTTATAAAAAAAAGATGTAATATCCATACTAATATTTGTATTAGGTGTGTGCAAAAGTTCCCAGAACATTTTTGAAAACTGAAGACTACACAGTTGAAAAAAAAAAAGAAACTTTTCAGTAAAAAGCAATGCAATGCAGACACACACACTCATTTATTCTCATATTTATAAATAAAAGCTGATTAATTGATTTTTTTTTATGGCTTATCAACCTTTTCACATTATTTAAATATTTTAGAGATAAAAATAATTAACTAAAATAATTTCTACTAGAGGTGGATTTATATCTTTCCCAAGGGTGTTTGTGTGTAAGCAAATATAATGAACCCAACTGGAACCGGAACTCAATTTTCAAATTCTGAGCCATTATTCTTTACACCACCCACACATCCTGATATTCTTGATACAGACCAATTTGGTGATCATATGAGAACCAGTGTTTCAGTGTGATATGGCCGTAAGTTTTTTATAAATGAGAAGACAAAATAATTCTATAAAGTCTAGTGTAGTGAGAGAGTTCAACTTGTAAATGAGAAAAGGCAGTGAATCAGAAGGATTTGAAAAATGTTGTCACAGATTGAAAATCCAGGAAAAAAAAATGTGTTTGTTTTTTCAAAGTAATCAAATGTGTTATTAAGAATGCTTACTTCTACTTAGGAAATTCATGTAGAAATTGTTGTGTAATTAGTGTAAAATGAGCAGAAAAGGTTAATTAATAAGGAACAGTTTTCTTTCTGTGTTATTGTAAACCACAGAGAAATGTGCTGTACCAACCTGTAGGGATACAGAAGGCGATTATCTCCCTTTGGTAGCAATAAGTCACATGGGTCAAGTTACAGTTACTTAGTCATATCACTTCATACAGTGACAAGAGTGGCAGTAAATTTCAGTTTGTTTACAGTAGTGAAACCCAGAGGTTGCTTTCTTTGAGTCCCCCATGGCCCTGGCAAAGACAAAATCTGCCTCCCCAACAGCTTGCAAGTCCATGGGGCCATTTCCCTTTGGTAATATATCTTTGTCAGATATAGAAAGAAACTGACTCACAGTCATCAATTTGGGAAAACCAAGACACACTGTTTTCTCCTTCATGGAATATGTCTTTACCTGGGGCATAGTAGATGAATCTAACCCATTTGAATGTAGAGTCCTAAACATTGCTCCCCCAGACACAGCAGTATCTCCATATTATAAAAAATAGATATCTCTAACATTAAGCAATGAATAAATACATATTTGGAAAATGGTATAAATCTTGTTCTGTAGGGTGCGATAGATAAATTGTCATCTAAATTATGCAAGAAGGAAAATAACACTGACATCCCATTTTAACAGATATATTTACCAAAATTATTATTATTAATTATTTTAACAGATATATTTACCAAAATATCTTGAAATACTAAAGAATGAATTTATTCAATAAAATTGCCATTGGCTTTAACCACATCCTCCAGACAACTTTGGAATTTACTGTAACTCTTCTAGATGGTCTTCTTGTTTAAGTTGGTGAATGCTACCATAATCCTTGCATTCAGTTCATCTTTGGTATTACACAGAGTTTTGTTGGTCTCTCATTCAACTCTGCCCCACACATAATAATCAAGAGGGTTGCAGTCTGAGGAGTTAGGTGGTCAAATGTAATGGGTGATGTGGTTGCAGAAATTGTCTGATAGCCATGACTGGGTTCTCCTGTTTGTGTGTCATGGTGCAGAGTCTTGTTGCCAGGCATAGGGTCTTCCAGCAGCCATCCTCTTGACACAAGGCAGCACTAACTCCTCAAGTCATTGATGTAGGCCTCTCTGTTGATTCTGAGACCATCACCCAAAAATTCAAGAATTGTTATCTTATCAGAACAATCAGACTGGGTTTTCTGAGTTGCTGTACCTTCATAATCACCACTAGACTCATACAAATCTTTCTGAATCCTATGAACTGTCCTCAGATTGACACCAAAACACTCTGAAATGTTTATACTGGAGCTTCCGGTGCAAATGCCAAGCAGTACAACAGTTCAAATTTCAGACAGAGTGAATTGCATTATGGTGTTCTTTTTCTCACAGATGGTGCCCAACTGACCCTACTATAGTGTGCAGTTGTTAAAATAACAAACAACAGGCATGCGTGAAATTAAAAACATAATATGGTGACAATTTACCCAACTCACCCCGTATTTATATAAAAGATATAATAGTATTGGTATTCTCAGTATCCTTCTACAGAAACACATTTCTGTTACTTCAAGTCCCTTCTTTATCTATGAGGAGATTGTTCAACATT